TTGTCATATTATTATCTATTATAATCAGTTATATTTTATATGAAAATCTGTTTTATCAAGATCATTATATAACAGATCATAGGATGAGCAAAAAACATGAACGTTTCGAAATAATACGTGAGCCAAAACTAACAATGAACTTTATATTGTGGATTAAAATGCCTTGCTTAGACGTAAAAACACATATTTTGATTAAAAGTACCTGAATTACGGAAACATATGGATTAGTGTCTCAACGCATAAACGACTGAAATATTTAATCACAAAAATTATAAATAGTATAAAAAAGTTTGGAAAAACTACTCTGTATTTCAGTTGTTTATATGCAATACCCATACTATACTACCTATAATTAGCAAACCAAGGGGAATGGGAGTTAAAATCTATTACTACACGAACTACGAGGACGCCCTGAGTATCATCAATGAGGGGGTGATCCGTGCGAAGGACTGTAAGGGAGAGCCGGGCGTCTACTTCACGGAAGTGCCGCCAAATTACGCCAAAGTCACGGCACAACTGAACAGTTATAACGACGGCATCCGATGCCTGCAGTCATCGAAACGCAAGTCGTCCGACGTTTGCCTCGCATTTGACGCCAACTCTATCGGCGCTAAACACATACCGACCCAATGGTGGAGGAATGAATGGATGACCAAAACGGATGTCGCTGTCTATGGGTGCAGTCAAATCATCATTAGGACAGAGTAACTGTCCACTCGCTTCGGACATTCAGTTTGTCTTTCATTTATTTTATATTACTTATAATGATATATAAGTTGAGATAATATTTGTTTAAAGTTTTCGTATTTAATAATTTTATTTGGAAATTATTTTTACTGAAATTTTATTGATTTGAATCCAATATCTGTATAAACAAGAACCCGGGGGACAGGGATTGTGTTAATACAATAGCACTGGTATTTTAAAACAACAAATAAATCATATTAATAAAACATCATTGAGTTAAAAATTGAGATATAAATGTCAAGTTTTATTCAATTAATTAAACAGTATTTTTGAAAACAAACTAATCTTTTAATAAAACTAAAATTAAATTCTATTCACTTATATCTAATTCGTTAAGAATTTTTTAATTATATATTTTATAATTAGCTGTTTATTGAAGCAGTTTTTCATACAAAGTCCACATCGAGTTATGCCACACCCGATAGCCAGCACGGGTCAGGTGCACACAATCAGACTTAAACAATGAGCTCTTTTGCATACCATTCCCATCCATATAATTGGGCCGGATATCCAAATAATAAACATTCATCTGGTTATCAAAACCCTTTAATAGTTGATTCAAATCGTCGCCCTTTTTATGCAATTCTGGATCTTTCAGTGGTATGAGACTCAGTAATATTATCTTACTTTCGGGACATTTATTTAGCAACTCTTTGATGATTGTATTCATGCCTTTGGCGATATCCTCAGCCGTGTCCTCCTGTTCCTCAGCGAAGAAATTGTTGTATCCTTTCGTATAATAACAGCACTTTTTATTAGTTATCAATATTTCTATTTTTAAATATATTTTTAAAAATTATTTCAAAATAAATACCGCATTGAAAGACAATAATCTTAGGGTTGAGTCCATCCAACTCGTGATTCTGGACCCGCCACAAGACATTGGAAGTGGTGTCGGCGTAAATGCCATAATTATAAGCACCGGTATGGGCATAATGCCGGTCCCATAGAAGCTTACCATCGATTGTAAAATTTTCAGTCAATGAGTCGCCGATAAACACGGTTTTGATATCATTTCGATGGTCTGACGTTTGTTTGAGATATGTTTGGTGTTTCGCGAGCCATGACTTTAGACTACCGATCCGTTCCTGTGGTTCCCACGGCTTTACTTTCGGAGTTTCGCTCATTTTTCTAGTATATAATAAACAGTGACAGTTATTGTGTTACAAGATTATTGGTTCATATAATATGACAAATCAATGAAAATATCTTGATTTTATAATAATTAAATATAGAAAACTTATACTTATTTGAACTAATGTTAAAATATTTATGTGTGATTTTAAAAAGAAATTCAACTTTTCAAATAAATTCAGAGTTTTAGTTTCTTAAGTTCAAAATTCAAAATTTTAAGTAATTAAGCGACATTAATTGATACCATAAGTATGGTTACAATATTTAGTTTTTATCTTACTATATTGCTTAATATTTTATTAATAATAATTAAAACTTGGCATTGACAATCATATAACATTTTCGGTGTTTCAAAATTTAAACAAAATTATCTAGAATATTAGAAATAAAATTTTTAATGCATTTAAAATTTAATTTCTAATTAATTAATTAGTAATAAAACAAGAATTTCATAACCCATCCAAACAGGGGATTCATGGCTTGATTTCATACTTTATAGCCCTTGAGTGTGAAGTCGAGTACATTTTATTTTATTTCTATTGTATTGCAAATATAAATTATTGCTTCACTCAACTAAACTGAAATGAAAAGTCTGAATGAGTTTTAAAATTAATTTTATTTAACTAATTAATAAACAATTATTTCATAAGTCGTTCAAACAGTGGACCCATGACTTGTTGCCACACTTTGTATCCCTCGGGAGTGAAGTGCAAGTGATCCGACTTAAAGAGTTGTGGCAGTTGTTGACCCTTACTGTCCACCATATGTGGTGATAAATCCATGAAAAATACATCCTTTTCGTCGGCAAACTTCTTGAGGTCGACATTGATTTGTTTGGATCTCTCACTAATACTTTCAATGATATAAGGGGTGTGTCCTATGATTATCACTTTACTGGTCGGGAATTTAGCCCTCAATTCTTTGATTATCTCCTCCTCGGCTCGCAATATGTCGGGTCCTGAAGGAGAAGGGTTTTTGTTCATTGTGTTGTAACCTATTATGCAATAATAAAAATACAAATGATCTATGTAATCTAATTATTTGTGGATTTTAATATAAATTAGAAAATATATTTCACTCTAACTAATTTTATACAGTATATCACTACTGTATTTAAGTAGAAATTAATTCATTGATAATAAAGTTCATGTATTATAATGAGTTATACAAATAAATAGAAAACACATGACATACCGGGCCCACAAGACATGACAATCACTTTGGGGTTGAGTCCATCGATTTCCTTATTCTGTATTCTCCACAACACATTAGATGTGGTGTCGCCTCCTATACCATAATTGGCGGCCCCTTTGGGTGCGAAATAAGAGTCCCAAACCTCTTTGCCATCCGAGTGCCAGTTATCCGTAATGGAGGCGCCGATAAAAAAGGCTTTGATTTTGCTTTTATTGTCTTCAGTGTATTTCTGCAACTGTTTGTGTCTCTGTAGCCAACCCTCATTTCCCGGTTGGGGTTCCCAGGGCTGGACATCAGCCCCGCATACGTTCACACATATTATTGTCAATACAATTAATTTGAACATTATTTCTACTCTTAGTAATTGTGAGAATAATAATATGAATGCAAGTGTTTTGTAGTTTTTATACTTGTTTTTATCTCACATAAGATTAAATGATTGTACAATAATTATCATCATTAAGTATCCTATTTTAATTATCAAATGTAACTCAAAAATGTTACTTGTATGTTATTAGATTATTTTAAATCATAAATCTCACTGCGAAATGAACTTGTTAAATATACCGAGATATTTATTGGTTAAAACTACTTTATTTTTCAATTTTTAATTAGACTTACTTGTTAACTCTAAACCTATAATTAACAAACCTGTATAATTAATCTTTATTATTAATAATCTAGATATTATTCAAAAGTGCAAACTATTCCGTTATTAATAATCATAAAAATTATAATAAAAAACAAGGCTATATTAGATTATCACTTTCAAGTATTCACATTTAATAAATAAATTTGTATTGAATAAATAAAGTATTACTGTAATTATCTAATAACATTTATTAATATATAAAATATTATATTCGCAAATCAACTTTTTTAAATCAAAAACTTTTGTAACTGTGGCCACATAGCATTATGCCATTGTAGATAACCCAGAGAATTAAGGTGAACATGGTCATCTTTGAAATAATCCAGGTTCAGTTGTCCATTACTATTGGTCAGCACTGGTGTCAAGTCGATGAACATTATATTAATTCCGTCGACAATACTCTTGAATTGAGAATTGATTTGTTGTGACCTTTCATTAATACTGGGGTCGCTGTACGGGAAGCCTATTATCAGTACTTTACTGTTGGGGAACTTTATCCTCAATTCATTGATGATCTCTACCAGTCCTCTATAAACATCATAGGCTGATGGGGAGGGCTTATTATAAAACATGGTGTTAAACGCTAGTAAACATATTTTTAATTAATACAAGCTATCATAATTTTAATAATAAATATAGTAAATACCCGGGTCCAATCCAACCACAAAAACTTTAGGATTTATGCCATCTAGCTCATAATTCTGTATTCTCCACAACACGTTAGATGTGGTATCTCCTCCCACACCATAATTGTATATCCCATTAGATAAGTAATAGGTGTCCCACAAGTGACCATAACTGACATCATTGCCTTCATTTTGCCAAAATTGTACGCCGGATGAGCCAATAAGAAAGGCCCTAATATTAGCCCGGTTTAGGTTTGTCTGAAGGAGTAACTGGATGTGTAAGGCCCCATTGGCCGTGGGCACTGGTTCCCAGGGCACAGCACCGGTACATAATTCAATACAAATAATGCTTATTACTGCTAGTACAGATCTAAACATGTTTTATGATTATTTTGATTTTAAATGGATTTATTTGGACGTATTAATATAAATATAACGCGTAAAATTTAACTATGATTATAAGCTGATTATTATAAATACTTTATATTTTGTTATAAATATCAAACAAATGCGATAAATACAATATAATTGTTATTCAATATAAATACGTGAATAGTAATTAATTTTCATTATTTTGCAATACTCTGTATAGTATACTGTAATACAGAACAATTGAGTAACTTTATCAAAAATAATCAAGGTCTTTTATCTTTGGAAGATTTTAAATAATAGTGGACGTAATATTGTAGACATTTTATGTTATTTCAATTGTAAGTCACAAATATGTTATTAATATTAACAAATTGTTTTAAACATATTTAAATGAAATACATTTACAAAGTAAGAAATTTTACATTTGTTTATAATTTATTTAGTTTAGGTACAGCTGCCTCTAATATTTATAATAACTAATATAATATTATTATAACTTATATTACTTATATTATATTACTATATATTATAATAGTTTTATAACTTATATTTAATATTTCAATTTAACGGATTTAATATGTAACTTATATTATTATAAATTATTTAATTAGTTTAATAGATTTTATTGAATAATTTCTTAATACAATAGTTAATAAAATACAAATTAATTAACATAATTATGTGAGTTTTTCTTTAATAAATTTTATAGTAAAAGTTTTATTGCAACCATTTTTCATACATTGGCCACATTATTGAGTGCCAGACCCAATAGCCATCCCGTCTCAGGTGCACACAATCAGACTTATACAATGAGCTCTTTTGCATACCATTCCCATCCAAATAGTTAGATCGGATATCCAAATAGAAAGTATTCATGTGGTTATCAAAACCTTTCAATAGTTTATTCAAATCCCTTCCCTTTTTATCCATATCCGGACATTTAAGTGGTGGCCACCCTGGTAATATTATCATACTTTTGGGACATTTGTTTAGCATCTCTTTGATAATGATATCCAAGCCTTTGGCGATGTCTTCAGCCGTATCCTCCAGTTTCACATCAAAGACATTGTTATATCCTTTGGTTAATAGTTTTTTATTAAGAGTTTATAAATTATAATTTAATTAAATAGATTACAAAAAATAATTTGTCATATATTTTTTAAAAATATATTCAAAAATTAAAAATAAATACCACATAGAAAGACAATAATCTTAGGGTTGAGTCCATCCAAATCGTGATTTTGAGTCCGCCATAAGATGTTGGAAGTGGTGTCACCGAATATTCCGTAATTATAAGCACCGGTATCCCGGTAATACCTGTCCCAAATAAGCTTACCATCGGTGGTGAAATTTTCAATCCATGAATCGCCGATAATATCATTTCGATGGTCTAACGTCTGTTTGAGATAAGCTTCATGTTTCGTAAGCCATGTCTTTAGGCTACCCAACCGTTTTTGGGGTTCCCATGGCTTTACTTTTGCCATTTCATTCATTTTGTAATTTAATGCTAAAAACAATAATTATTATAGACTCTAAATGTACAATAATCAGTTATGTACAACAATTTTAAAAATTATTTAAGATTTGCTATTATGGAAACAATTTTTTTCAAAATATGAGTTTTTATGTAATAGTGTATTCATAAATAATATAGTGACATAACAAATATTTTTCTATCATTTTACTTTTAATTTTTATTACTACAGTATTAATTTAACTTAATAAATTTTATTATTCCTATTATTATAATTTTATATTAATATAGCAATGTCAACCATATTTCACTTCCTTGTTTATAATTTTATCAAATTTATCTTAATTTATTAGAAATCAAAAGGTTTTAATTAAGAATATATTTTTTATTTATTAAAAAATCATTGCAAAAGTTGTTCAAACAATGGACTCATGATTTGATGCCATACTTTGTATCCCTCGAGAGTGAAGTGCAAGTGATCCGACTTAAAGAGTTGTGGCAGTTGTTGACCCTTACTGTCCACCAGATGTGGTGTCAGATCAATGAAGAATACATTCTTCTCGTCCGCAAACTNCGAATTGAGGGCTAAATTCCCGGCGAGTAAAGTGATAATCATAGGACACACGCCTTATATCATCCAAAGTATTAGCGAGAGATCCAAACAAATCAATGCAGAGCTCAAGAAGTTTGCCGACGAGAAGAATGTATTCTTCATTGATTTGACACCACATCTGGTGGACAGTAAGGGTCAACAACTGCCACAACTCTTTAAGTCGGATCACTTGCACTTCACTCTCGAGGGATACAAAGTATGGCATCAAATCATGAGTCCATTGTTTGAAAAACTTATGCAATGATTGGACATGTACTGTATTTTACTTAATTATGTTATAATAAATTCCTTATAAAATTTTATTTTATTTGATATGTTGTGAATAAATATTGAAT